ACTAAGCTACAGTTTAACCGAAGCGATTTTTTTCTAGATGAAGGGATCGCTGTAGAGCATTCACGGACTTTGGGACCATATCTTTAGTTTCCCAGGGCCAAAATCAAAAATTCCTTCGGTTGAACCCCTAGTTCACATCTTGCCTGGTTCCACCCAAATTTTCAGTGTCGTACTGTCTACCTGTGCTACCTTATTTAGAAAAGCGATCCTGTCAGCTTTTCTATTATTGTGTTCACATGGCAAGAAAAACGACACCGCTATGCTACGTAAGTTTCTACGTAAGGTGCTCGGTATTTCACTTAGGCTACGTAAGTCTCTACGTAAGGTGCTCGGTATTAGATCTACCAACGGGTGGTAGCCGCGTGCTGTGCACGTGCCCGGCAGACATAGTGCATGCAGTCCGTGTTTGGATGTGCATGCGCGAGGAACTAATAATTTATAATATTATTATTACTTTCTCCTTTGGAACTGCTTCTTGTATGAGCTGTTTCGGATATTTCGTCTCCTGGCCTGGCTTATTTCGTTTCGGCGCTGCTGAGACCTCCTTTCGCGGAATATTACTCAATGACAGGTGAGTTGACCAGTTCCCTTTGATTCATTTGCTTGTGCTGACTCTTTCATTTACGAAAAGTGTGCTGATTTTGGGCGGAATGCAATAAAATAATAATGGAAAAGCTGACAGGATCTCTTTTCTAAATTTAGCTTTTCCGCTGCCGAGGCCTCCTTTTACTTTTTTTTTTTTCACAACAACTGCCAAGCCTCTTATACGGGCAAAAAAACACAATTACGAGTGCCTCCTTTTACGGAATACTCGATGACAGGTGATCTCTGAGTTGACCGGTTTCCTTCGATTCATTTGCTTATGCTCACCCTTTCATTTACGGAAACGTGTGCTGATTTTATTCGGATTTAGATCCATTTTTATCTCTTTGCCCTTGTCCACAGTGTGCGAAGAACGCGAGTTCACCTTCTTGACGATAAGGCTTATGTTAAATGTGTTGTCGAAATACTCATATTCATTGTACATTGGTACATTACAAGGCACTGGTCAGTGGCATACTATCGTTGGCAGTTCCCAATCTGGAGGGAAAGGTTCAAGGACCCATTGACCGAGTTTGCAAAATAAATTCGCATATCAGGGAAAATCTCCATTGTGGAGAGGTTCAGTAAACTTGTTTGCTTCATACGAAACAAGCCAATGGGTGCAGTCTCGTCTCGTGAAGATCTCGTACTTGTATGATTGGATTTGTTTCCTCGAGTCTGGGCTGTTTGATTTATTATTTGTGAGTACCACCGAGATTGCACTGCCCCAAATAAAGTTTCGTGCCGCCAAAGCAAGAATTACGATCTGCAATCTGTTTGTAGTACCTGCAAGAATGTGCTGTACATGTATCGTACTTTCTCTGTTGCTGTTTCAGTTGCCGTCATGTTGCTAAAGAAGCGTTCAGTAGAGAGGTTCTGCAAAACGAAAATTCGAACGAAGTTTCGCGACAGTCTTTGCGAAAGTGTGTACGAATTTTTGCACGAACGTTGCGTTCTGCACATTTTCGTAGTTTGCGCGGGCCAAGTGCACGTACGCCATGACCCGATCTCACGAAATTTCCTACCACAGTTCATTTCGTGTTCCCTGCAAGTTTCGCTTCCAAAGTTGCGAAAGTTCGTGCGAAGTTTCGCACCTCCTGATGTAGAGGGAAAGTTTGTACGCATTTTCGTTTTGCAGAACCTCTCTAGTGACTCTTTATTTTGTTTCATACGAGACGAGTCAATGAGTTGGTGTGGCTTAGAATCTTTCGCTGTAGAAGAAATCTATTCATATGTCTATTGGAGAAATAATTGTATTCACTGGTTATAAAATAGGTTAAGACAAACTCACAGAAGAAATACCATCGGTCCCTTGGTGTTCGTCCTAAAGAGGTTCGACTGGATATCATTCACACTCACCAGAAGATGTGTAAGATTTTATTATTATGGAGTGCCTTGTTTATCTCTCAGTACCTCCAACCATAGCCTTGCCCCTTTTATCCTCAGGATCAGTGTTGTTGTTGGAATGAGGTGTTGGACTCAACAATGTATTTGTTTACATTTTAATACATGTTTATTGTTCCTCCTCTGCTGTGTTGTTCTAGAAAATCGTGGACTAACAGTTTGAAGTCATTGAACTACTTCCAAAAGTTGTATCGACATCAACAGGATTACGATTTCAGTGCAATATGATGCAGGATGACCTTATCACGATAACCCATGATTATAAACCATTATAAACACAGAATCAACAAAAACATCTGCGACACGCACCTGGTTACATTTCACAAATAAATCTGATCGAGGGTGGGGAAATCTGAAATATCTGAAAGGCAAGACAATTTTATGAGTCATGAAATTCTGCTACAGCAACATGCACAGAATGACCTCTGTATAAAAAAAAAGTATCACCACGGTCCACCACTACTCACATGTTTCCCCGCAGAAGAACATTATTATTATTATTATTATTTTATTTATTTTACTAGGGTGTTTCCCACAGACCTATGGTCTTCTTACGGGAGCCCCTAGAAAGGTTAAGCATGAACGAACAAATGGGCGATATTCTGTACAAGAGCGAACAGTGGAAGGCAGCATATTCCACCGATCAGAACCTATGTAGCCAAGACGAGAAAAACCAGCTTTAGTGTGGGCATGCCGATTATGCTAGTGCCATTTTCTGCAAGAAAAGGCTTGCACATCAATGCGTATAATACGGTATTGATACGATGTGAAGGCCATCATTTACATATTGATATACAAGTTGTAGGGCATTCCATTGATATGATTGGTGACAGAAAAAACAAAAGAAATTATAGCAATAAAAACTGCTTTATGGCAGTTTTCTAAAAAAAGTTATTGTGTTCTAGTCCATGGACCCCGTCTAAAAAGTAAGAAATTAACGAAATGTGATAGCTGAAAATTCAAATTTCACACAAAACCTCACAATAATCACACACAGAATGAAAAGCTACATGAAGAAGACCTTTTAACCTCGTGATCCTCTTTCCTATGCATGCATGTTGCCAATTGTTGTTGCACTACGAGTTTAGTGTTGAAAGCAGCATTTCAAGTGTTGTGATTATTGTGAGGTTTTGTGTGAAATTTGAATTTTCAGCTATCACATTTCGTTAATTTCTTACTTTTTAGACGGGGTCCATGGACTAGAACACAATAACTTTTTTTAGAAAACTGCCATAAAGCAGTTTTTATTGCTATAATTCTATTTTGAAGAGGCATGTGTCGCACTGAAAATGCGCTGCGAGATGGCTAGAGTTTGTGTACAAGGGGTGGTCGAGCTGTGGTCGCGTGACAGTCGACCTGTCGTCGCGTGAGCTGGCCAGAAACAAAATGGCGCCCACGTATTTGTACACAACCGTGAGCCCTGAACTTTCACACCAAGCCCTGAACTTTCACACCAAGGTTCAACTCGAGTTCAACTCGAGTGACAGGACTGCACCCAAAAAAGGTCAAACAGGCTAGTAAGTAATAGTTGTACCCTGCAGGCACGGTGACCAGGTGACTGGTGTACGCAGGAGCACGTGACCGCTTGTTCAACCATGTTCGATTGGGAATAAAGGAGGAACGCTGCATCGCAGCCTTTTCGGACCAAAACCAGTCGACTCAGCGTCCAAAAGACTACAACATATGGGCCAATCGCGGTCACCCGTGCTTTTATAAGAACGAAATGGCGCTTTTAGTGACATTTTGCATACAAATCCCCATCTAGTAGGGCGCAGTCACCCAGTTTCGGTGGAAGTGCGCGAGTTCGATTGGGAATAAAGGAGGAAGGGAGCGTCTCAGCTTCCTCGGACCAAGACCATTCGACTCAGCACCCCGAAGACTACAACTGGTGAAAATTTGATTTTAGGGTATACTTCCCCTTTAATTAATTAAAAAGGTGGCCATATACCTTCGATGGTACTCCGTACGAAAACATGCGTAGAATCAGAATGCTTTGATAGATTTTGCTGAAATTTTCTGTACACACTCAGTGACTAATGACGGTAATGTAGATTGCAGATCAGTAACAGGCGTAGGGCACAGGAAGTGTGAGAAGGGTAGAGACAAGTTTTCACAAAACATCAACTGCATGCAGAAAACTGCCAAATATGGAAGGGGAAATTCCCAGTACACATTCCACGTGACTTCTCTAGGTGAAACGTAGAGCAGAACAGCATTTCTTTACGTTACGGGAACGCGAAGAAAGTTCGCGTGATTCTTTGCGTCGCGTTCCCAAAACGTAGAGCAGAACCTCCCTAATGGCTCGAACCCACGACCCATCGTACCCCCCGCGAGCTAGGTACGGCGTGAGGACACAGCCTGTTGGGGCGGGGGAGCAGTGTAGCAAGAAGGATCCATGAGTGTGTGTGATCCCCGGTAGCCTAATCGGTAGGGCACTGTCCCGGAAAGACAGGGGTGCTGGGTTCGAATCCCGCTCGTGGATCCTTCTTTTGCAACACTCCTACTGTCCAAGCCTAGGGCATTTCTATCACCATGGACACCAGTCTATGGCCAGTGGAGTCATCACACAAAAACCATTATCATGTATGCATAGTCTATGCCAGGTGAAATTCTAGCCTGTTCATTCTTCGGCCACCGGCAGTACAGTATTTACCAAAGCCACATCATCCGGCCGTCCAACCTGCTAGCTACGGCCTCTTCCACAATCTCACAGAGATAAATGTTAGTTAGACAGTCCCAGCCCCACTGTCCCCCACATACTACAGACATGCAGACACACATACACACCATGCCACCACACACATTCTAGCCTGTTCGTTCTTCGGCGCGGGACACTACGGCGGTACTGTATGCACCAGAGGGACAGTATCCGGCAGTCCAACCTGCTAGCTGCGGCCTCTTCCACAATCTCACAGAGACAAATCGGTTAGTTACAAAACCCCAGCACCACTGTCCCACATACAGACATGCAGGCACACCGATACACCATGCCGAGACAGACACCCACGCATGTGTACAGTGTTGGGCGAGGAGTGTAGAAACAAAATACGAAAATAGAGAATTGGTCGGTAACCTGTACACAAAACTCAGGAAAGGCTAAAAACAAAACAAAAACTAGAAAATATATCCATGGACACACAATGAAAATAACCGTTGTGTATTGATGGAGAGGACGTATAGAACAGATATAAACTAGATCATAGATTGTCAAGTATGTCAAGGTCAAGGTCCGGAAGAGCAATGGCTGAAGCTCAGGTAGCTGTGAACTGAAGAATCAGGTTTGGAGGACTGAAGGGGTGCCACACGCTGACAAGACTGTCATTTGCTTTCTCTAGTTTTGCTCGATAGCGCCTGATGGCCCAACAGGTTTTGCACGTGACCACTACATGTGTACGCCGCTTACCTGCACATCGGCATTTAGAGAGAGGGAGAGAGAGAGAGAGAGAGAGAGAGAGAGAGAGAGAGAGAGAGAGAGAGAGAGAGAGAGAGAGAGAGAGAGAGAGAGAGAGAGAGAGAGAGAGAGAGAGAGAGAGAGAGAGAGAGAGAGAGAGAGAGAGAGAGAGAGAGAGAGAGAGAGAGAGAGAGAGAGAGAGAGAGAGAGAGAGAGAGAGAGAGAGAGAGAGAGAGAGAGAGAGAGAGAGAGAGAGAGAGAGAGAGAGAGGGGGGAAGACAGAGACAGAGAGAGTGTGTTTACACTGGTCATGGTTGATTAGTACGCAGGCTTGCACTGGTCGGCAATCACATGCTTGCACTGGTCAGCAATAACATGCTTGCACTGGTCAGCAATAACATGCTTGCACTGAGTCTGGCTGGCAGTCACTTCCCTCCTGCTGCAGATGCTTTGGCCTTTCCTTTCACCTTTGCCGTCGGTGCGGGTGATGATGCACCGGTGATGGTCTTTGATCGCCGTCGTAGCTTACTCCATCCAGCACCACCCATGCTGGTAGTGCTACTGGCTTGTGAGGTGCTGCGTCGACCACTGGCCTGTGATTCGGTGTGGCTGCTGGTGCTAGCCTGCCGATCCGTTTCCACTGTACAACATGTGTGTGTGTGTGTGTTGGGAAAGACACAGTTACACACACACACACACACACACACACACACACACACACACACACACACACACACACACACACACACACACACACACACACACACACACACACACACACACACACACACACACACACACACACACACACACACACACACACACACACACACACACACACACACACACACACACACACACACACACACACACACACACACACACACACACACACACACACACACACACACACACACACACACACACACACACACACACACACACACACACACACACACACACACACACACACACACACACACACACACACACACACACACACACACACACACACACACACACACACACACACACACACACACACACACACACACACACACACACACACACACACACACACACACACACACACACACACACACACACACACACACACACACACACACACACACACACACACACACACACACACACACACACACACACACACACACACACACACACACACACACACACACACACACACACACACACACACACACACACACACACACACACACACACACACACACACACACACACACACACACACACACACACACACACACACACCATGTACCATGTATACGCCCGTCGCAAGAGAAGCACGCAAATCAGCAAATGCACTGGATGTGCACCCACAGATTTTCTCTGATAGCAACGATAGCGAACAAGATCTGAATGAGACAGATCAAGACTTGCACCAGATAACTGTCTAATCCACACAACTGGCGAAGCCATGTGAATCGACCACCAATGCACACCTGGTCTACACCACACGGAGTACATCAGCATACAACGGCCAAGACAGTTACCTATGCACACCCTACACTTGCTGGGGTAACCAGTATAGACAGCGCACTGCTTTGATAGAAGCAGACACTAGATGCACTGGTACCTTGAAGTGAAATAGGAATTACTTTACCAACCAGCCTCGGCTACTGAGTACTGGGAACCCAGAGCCAACAGACATGCCAACAACCTTAGCCATGAAAGCTATTATAGTAACGACACACTGGATTGTTGAGCCGAAACTAGTCCAACTTCCAAATGCTTTGGCAAGAAGGCATTCCGACAGGTCGGACACACACACACACACACACACACACACACACACACAGAGGGCATATGAGGAAGAGCATTCGCGTGGCACACGCACCCCCCCCCCCCCCCCCCACACACACACCGGATCGGCAATGCACCTGCCACTTAAAGCATTGCAATAACAGACAAGGACATCAGTGCATGACTGAAAGGAGCAGTCGATTGAATGATATACAAACTGTATAAAGATGTAGCATGCAGACGGATTCGTATGACTGTACAGTAGTTGGTGTTTGCCTGTTTGGATGCAACTATGTGTGTATGTGTACGACTGTTACGTACACGACTTGCTGTGTTGTATTGTGTGTGTGTGTGTGTATACCAAGGAGTCATGGCATTCATGCAGGGAGACGACCCAGCCAGTTTGAAGTCCGTTGTGCATCCATGCTCTGTGGAGCACGCGATTGTGACCGAGACCCCAACATGCTGAACCTATGTGCGGACGGGACAGCAAAGTATGCAGACATGCACGTAGTGTGATGTATGCATGCATATATTGACTTTGCCCCAAACACGACTGAAACGGGCAGCCTGGGTGGCAAGACCCGCATGGCGTCATATTCCATTTGTCGGCCCCTTGTCTACATGGATACATGCTAGAAACCAGATAAACACACACACACACACACACACACAGAGATAATTATACTCACAGAGAAAACCGGGGAACAACTCCTGAGGCTCCGTAAGCAGCACTTTGTACTTCTTGTTGCCGTCGTCATCCTCTGAAACACACATGCATGCACACACACGCGCGCACACACACAGACATACACACACACACACACACGCATACACACACCCAATCAAAGCAGAGAACGTTACTCGTTAGACAAAGGCAGTGCATGAAGTGGAACTGTATAATACTCGCGGTCTAGCCCTGACAGCATCACCTTCAATGCTAGAAAACGTTCCACTTTGGACCAGCAGCTCCTGAGCAACATGTCACAGGCCAGCCAAAGTTGCCTTCCGGCACCCCTGTCTGCATGCGTATGAAAACAAGAGTGTCATGTTGATAGGTTAGTTATGGGTGATCACAGTATTGAGTATTAACCCAAAATTCCACCGAATAGCATGATATTCTTGACGTATTGAACATGTTCATCCTTTCCTCGGCAGACTGTAGTGATGTAAAGCATAGCTTACTGGATGTTCTATGTGCGTAGTCTGCAAAGGGCCTTGCTGCTGAAAATGGATAAAGATGTACACACCAGCATTCCACCGCTGGCTACAGAATATTCTTCAAATCTTCCGAATTTTCGCCCAGGAGGCGACCTAGAGTGCTCAACATCACAAGGATGGAGCAATAATATCACAAACGGGCAGAAGAGAACAGAGACAACCAGCTTGTCGCCTTTGAATGATAAGGATTTTTTGGCATGCATATTCATATCGTCGTCATGCTGGGGAAAGGTGGTGAATGGCGTTGCAAACTCGAGCGCCGCTTTGAGGAGCTGCTCTGAGATCGATGGATAGATACGATTATGCATGCCAAAAATCTTTATTATTCACAGGTGACAAGGTATGGGCCAGGACGGACAGAGAAGGTTTATTCGATGTCACACTGGGGAGCAATGGTAACGCGGAAGTGTGCCAATTGGTAGGAGCGTTCTTGCTGAAGCGTCTAGCAGATATGTTCAGCACCGCCAGCCTAGGCCTGTACTGTGACGATGACCTCACAGCATTCAAGAACATGACTGGACACGAGGCAGACTCCATCCGCAAAGCTATCACAAAGCTGTTTAACCCTTTACCGGTCTACCATAAGCGAACCGATACTATAGTATCGGTACGTTTGGCTCTCATTTTTTGGGGCATTGTTGCAAGGAGACAGCTAAACAGGCGCTCTACGCGTAGCTGAGGTCCAAGGCTTTATGACGATGTACAAAACAACCATGCTTACCATACAAATTTTTGCCGTATCGATCGACTGAAGTTTGTTGAAATTGGAAAAGACGACCATCCGCCATGCGTGTATTTCGAGAATGCGAGTGCATCTCTTGGGGCCGTGTTTGACAAGCGTTCTGAGAGCAGTAACACCACCAGTCCAGGCTGGATCTCCCGGGAGGTTTTGCAGTGTAGTGTGTTGAGAAAAAGAGCTCCGTTGAATCCTGCTAGTTCAAAAATATATCGTCCACGAATGAAGAAATAAAATTCTCCAAACAGAGAGGAAGCTTTCTTGCTGCCGACACGGCGACAGCGACTGTCACAAGGACTCGTCAGGTGCGATCAGCTGATTCGCCTGGCCGTGAGAATCACGGCATGCGTAAGCTCGCGCCTTAGTGCTCATCTGAGTGAGAGTGAATCTGACGCGAGCAGCCCTGAGATGAACAAACCGAAGCTGCGATATCGTGGAATGGGAATTGCTGCTGCTGGCGTATCGCCAATGGCGAGGTGTTGGTGTTCAATGGCGGTATTGTAGAGAGCCTGCATTTCTTGTAAAGACGTAGCCCTTACCTGATTGTTTATCGTACGACTTCAGCTCCATCACGAACTTGGTATGCCTTTCGTGCTGTGATGTTCGTGTATTTCATTCGCAAATGTATTTTCTCTCAACTTGAAGGGCTACCAATGGCCCTACCCTTGCCTGGACCTAGTCATATTTGAATTTTCTGGACGCGTTCAGACATACAGATTTGGAAAATATATGGTTTACCCATACCTACATCACATGGTTCTTGAGTTATTGCTGGTTGTGTGTACATGTATTTGCGTGACCACCCCTCACATACATTGAGTTAGACCGGCAAAGGGTTAAAGACTCCGGCTTGAGAATCACGATCAGCACAAACCAGGGAATGGTCAACTTCCTTGACGTTACCTTCAACCTCGCAACTGGCCGCTACGAGCCGTACTGAAAACCGAACGACGCGCCAAGATAACATCAACACCGAGTGGAACCACCCCCCGACAACCATACCGAAATTGCCGGGGATGATAAACAAGCGATTTTCAAGTATTTCGAGCGACCAAGAGGTCTTCAACAACGCTGCACAGGCCTACAAGGAAGCATCAGCGGATTCCCGGCCGTACTAACATTCGACAACGGCAGCGAGGCAAAGAAGTGCTGAGAGAGGAAGAGGAACATAACCTGGTATGACCGGCATTTCCTTAAATCCATGTCTACCAGTATCGGCCAGTAGTTCCTGAACGGCCAGTCCGAAAGCACTTCCCGGCATCGTCACCTCTTTTTTTGTAAAATGTTCAACAAAAGCACGGCCAAGGTCAGCTAGTCATGTATGGCCAACATGTCCTGCCTAATCGAGGGGGACAACCGGACAGTGCTGGCCCCGGCCGACGGGCGGAAACCGGCAGAGGAATGCAACTGCTGGGCTAAACCCTCTTGCCCTCTGGACGGCCGGTGTTTGCGAGAGACGGTGGTCTACCAAGCGGCCGTCACGACTCGGAGCTCAGGAGAGGAGAGGCGTTACTTCGGGCTTTGCGAGACACCGTTCAAAATGTGCTATGGTAACCACCTCTCGACTACGAGGTAGGAAAAGTACCGCACAAACACGTCTGTCAAGCCTCAATCCACCTATGGGCACTTCAGGACCAGGGTGAGGAGTATGACATTAGGTAGTCCATCGTGAACAGGGCAAAGACCTACAGCATCATCACAAAAGGGTGCGGCCTGTGTTTAGCAGAAAAGGTGAAGATCATCCGCGCTGACCCAGCCACGTTCCTAAACTTAAAAAATAAGAATGAGTATTAAAATGTCGACACAGGAATAAGTTCTAGCTCTCGCGCCATGGCACAGGTGTGACTTGGCCACCTACATGCCATCACCAGGACCTGCCATAACCAGGGCCTGCCATCACCAGGACATGCCTGCCATCACCGGAGCTGGCAGGCTGTCTGCCATCACTGTAACTTGAATGTCACCTCTCCTTCTCTCCCTTCTTTTCACCTCCCGTGTAAAAACTGACACCACCCGCAGCATGTCTCACCAACTACTTGAACGTCACAGTAAAGTCGCACTACCTTTGCACGCTTTCCTACCTGCCTGGGTAAACATTTGTAGCTAGATGATGTACACGTTATCAGTTGTCTGAGGATTGCCTTAAAACTTTGCTATGTGCATGAAATGCAGCGTTACAACAATGACCTAGCCGATTGTCTCTGTTCTCTTCTGCCTTTGTGCATTTAATAAGTATGTATGTTCTGCGTTTGTGCATTCAGTGAGTATGTATGTTCTGAGTTTTGGGCAATTGCTAGTTACATGCAGTACTCGGTCCCAACCTGCCCGGATTACGGTTTGGATTTATTCACTGAGTATAAAAGCTACAGTTCTTACTGAGAATGGCGCAGAGAATGTACTTGGCGTTGTTCTGTAGGTACTTGCATGCCTCGTCTTGCCGGTGATCAGGAAGGTGTATGATCTTGCCCTGCGTATCCACCAGGTCCAGCAGAACTACACAGAACAGTAAGAAGAGGAAACTTTTTGTGCAAGCATGCACAGCAGTGACCGGCTACACCATCAAACATCCTATGTGAAGTACGGGAGCGAAACTCATCACCATTGTAACTTGTAAGTGAATGCACACGTTCACATACTTATTCTCACACATTTAAATATAGTGACGTGTTTGCACAAAACCTTGAAGTTACAGTTCGTCTTGTGCACTGACAGAGATGGGAACAGACACAATACAGAGAAACAAGGGGAAGGGACGGAGGGGGAGACAAGAGAGAAGGACAGACAGACACACAGATAGGGATACAGAGAAAGACGAGATGCACTCTTGCTGTCTCCAGTATCTACATTCCGTGGACAAGGAATTTCCACCCAAGAGTCTAACACAGCGGCACATTTCAATTTCAATTACTGAAATTTCACAAATTTTCGGCGTACTTTTGTTTTCGGTACTTTCAGTGCAGCTGTTTCATACCTAAAATTGTAATACACCCAACAAACACTAACACGCATAATCCAATAGGGAACTGCTTCTCTGTACCGAAAATTTCTGTTCATCTAACGTGGCCTTTTCCCCGCACACCGAAAAAATTTGAGCACCGAAAATTTCTGAAATTCGAGTATATAATGCCTGATCCAAAACCCCATCAGAGGGCAGCAGAGGTGGCATCAACGTTGGTGCTGCTTTTGGTTCACGTGTTGTACTTCTTTGTACATGACTGTACAGTGCGTATCGGTTATAGCGTGGTCGTATACAAGAATATACTGCCTACAAGAATGAACACTCATTTTTTCATAATCATAACACATATTTTATGTGTATATTTATTCTTACATGCAGTATTATCGCATAGTAGAATATATCGGCCCTAAGAATGGATTTTGTGTAGCAAAATGTGCCAGATTAGTGCAAAGTGTATCGCCTGTTGTAATAAAATCTGTGCTCTGTGCATACTCAATACAATAATATTCAACACAAAAAGAGAGTTATGTCCAACTGAGCATCGGAGAATCACTTTTTCTGTCCAGTCGGACTCTTGCTTTCGACTTCTCTCGTATCTGCTGCTCCGCAGTCGCCTAGCACGACCGCGAGTCTGATCCGTGTGTATCATGTGTAGACCTACATGATTGTACGTGTCCACATGCCAAACGTGCGTGCATAACTATCATTATGATACCTGTATGTCACACGTGCATATGATATGTCACACGTGATTTATCGTGTGTAAGAAATATCGGCAATAAGAATCAAATGTCGTTTTTCAAACACCCACGCTATAACCGATACCTACTGTACCTGGTAACATCAGCATGTTGAACTTACTCTCTTCTCGGCAACCACAAGTGGCATTGAGGTACGGCAGAATGCGGCTGATCCGGCATTTCAGATTTAGATGTATCATCTTCGCGTCTGCAGGCACATAGAGTTTGCACACGCGCACACACGAGCCCACACATGCATGCATGCACGCATGCACAAACAAACACACACACACACACACACACACGCAAACACACACACGGTCAAGTGAACAACTCAACGGGGCCCTGTTTTTCCAAACTCTGTTAGGACTGCGTGGCACTGGCATGCAGAGTTGTAATTATTGTACTTACAAGTGATACCTCTGCGCATGCTCCTATATGTATTGACAATATTATTGTCATAAGCTCAGGAAGTAGCCTAGGCATGCTGCAGGTGTGTATAGTATTAGTATTTATTCCCGTAGCTATGCAGAAGACGTTACTTCAGTAACGTCTGGCGCTAGCCAGGGTCCACATAGCTTTAATTTGGTGTTTGTTTGTTTGTTTGTGTGTTTGTGTCACGCCTGGCGCTATCCCGTATCTGTCCCGTACCGTACCATCAAACACAGCTGGCCACATACAGCTGGCCGCAATATTCAAATAGGGCTTTCAAACGCAAGATCATATTAACGTGAAGCAACTTGGAAGAATGAGTATGAATGCGAAGTGTATGGGGGAATGCATGTAGGGCGATAGTGCGGGTTCGAATCCCAGGTAATGCCTGAAAAAAATAGGAGAATTGAAAAAATTTATAACATCCCTTTTCTTTTTTTGCCGTCATCAAGGCGGTAGACGGTGTCGTATTACTGGCCCTCGACCGTACCTGTCCCGTACATGTCCTGTACCTGTCCCGTACCTATCCCGTACCGTACCGTACAATCAAAGACGGCTGGCCACAATGCATATTCAAATAGGGCTTTCAAATACAACATCATAACGTGAAGCAACTTGGAAGAATTAGTATGCATGCGAAGTGTATCGGGGGATGCATGCAGTGCGATAGTGCGGGTTCGAATCCCAGGTAATGTCTAAAAACCAAAAGCTGAAACTAATAAGAATTTATAACATCTCTATGCTTTTTTTGTCTAGGTCATCAAGGCAATAAAGCATAGCGTAGGGCCCTGAGCTTCCAAGCTCTCTCGTTCAACATTTCCTGGCTCGTCAAACGACTGCCAATGACAAATGAATGTGACATGAATATATACATGGTGTTTCAGACACCCGGTCACCTTATCCAAGTATGCATGCAGTTGCCCTTGCTTCAGGGTTTACTGTGCGTCCCTCACCTGCGTAGTAGACTTTGGCTACTGCCATGTCGTCAGAGACCACTATGCAGTGTCGATACACACACACACACACACACACACACACACACACACACACACACACACACACACACACACGTCGGCACAGTCTAAGGGATTGGTCCACGGCGATGACGCCGGAGGCCGGCGCCGAGCGACGACGGGATTGGCAGCTTCAGCCACCTGGCCGAATATCAGTTCAACAGTGGATTAGTCACCAGTACGTCTGTCTACCCGCACAGTACAACTGTATCCCATGTACTCACAGCCGCCAAGTCATGTAATCAGGTGAGTGTGTACACAGGCAGAGACAGTTTTTCTCTCAGTTTCTGCTACTACTACTAGTAGTACTACTGTAGCGAGCATCCAGCACCTCAGCGTACTGTCGTCTCCAGTGATCACCTAACTGATAGCTATTCCACTGATCAGTCTACTGTATACCATACTAGCAGTAAGTAGTGCTCCGTGCTCGACGGCTCGTACTGCTGGCCACAATGACTTGCAGTTGGACAGCCGGACTGTTTTCAGTGCCGAGTACAGCTTGCGGACACAAGTAAGTTCTCAGCAACACCACTCGCTGCCACTTACCGCTAGGGAATCTGGGGCTAAACCGTCACGGATAAATTTTATGCAAAGGGTCTATTGTACATTGTAGTACCAAGAGTCCATAAACATGCCAGTACAGTGCCAGTGGTTACAAACAAAATAGTAGGAATTATTTTGACTGGACTGGTACAGTCAGTGCCTCAGTGGCAGTGTGGCCGTGGGGGGACTGGGACAGTGGAAGTAGTTTCATCACCACCTGGCACATCGCTATCACAAGTATCAGCCATGACAACAACTAATAATAGTGATAACTATCCTATAATAATGAGTATGAGTATGACCACTGCCCTGGCACTGTACTGCAATTATTTTATCAGTATGATTGTCTTTCGAAAACGGAAAAAATCGACAGGGCAACCCGTACATATCTATGCACCATGCATGCGCACAGATCGAGTAAAGAAGTTTTCTTCGCGTAATACTAATAATACATAATACCGTTACGGCGTTAGTAGATCTACTGAGTCTGTGCACAATGTCAATGATTGTCATATTATGAATGAAGGTTGGCTCGTCTCTTGGAGTCATGGCATGCAAAGAGAACGCTGACGGTATAGGAGCACTATCATCAGCTCTTTCCCAGACTGGATGCGATGAGAGAAGTGCTAGCGAGGACGGTTGCACGGAGGCTACTTGCTCCGAAACCACTGCTTGCATCGCCGAAGCAAGCAACACAGTTCCCGAGGCAGTGTCCAGACTGAAAAGTCTGTTAGTTGAGGAGTATGTCGGCGCAACCGTGGACATGGGAGAAGGCATGGTGGAGGAAGGGATGAATGAACCAAGCGTTTCAGATGTGCAGGTAAAACTGATCATTTTGTCTAGGCCAGAGCTTCGGCAGGAGTTCGCCGATGCGAGTTTCGATTCAACAGGGGACATGTGGCGCGTAGAACACGTTTTCACAAAGGCAGCCGATAGTTTGGAGAACATCTCCATTGCAAGTCTCTTCGATCTGGACAATGAGCAGACGCTGGAGTTCTCCAGCGGTGGTCGAACGTATCGCATATTGGCTGTTGCCAGCGCGGGCTGTGGCAAGACGTTCGTGTTTACAAGAGTGGCACCATTGAAATGGGCCCGGAATGAAATGTGGGCATCGTTTGACCTGGTGATAGCACGGAAGCTACGGAACAAGGAGGTTAGAGAGGCAAAGAACATATGCGCTCTGCTTGGCGTTGAGGAGCGGGGAGAGTTTACGAGCGAGGAGCGCAAAAGTATCGATGATTTTGTACGGCGGCAAGCTCATCGAGTATGTATTGTGCTCGATGGGCTTGATGAGATCCGCCTTAGTGACTGCAGTGGCTTTGTTCAGGACATCATTAACGGGTCAAGTGTGAAGGGACTGCGTCTGGTGGTGACGTCACGGCCGTGTGTAGAACTGCTGAGCCTGAGTGACAAAAAGCAGTTTGACCGGCGTGTGGAACTTGTCGGCTTCCGGCAAGAAGATGTTGAGGAGTACATTGGCAAGGTGCTGAGGTCAGTAGACGAAGCATCCTTACTGGTAATGGCAGTACGGCAGGATCAACACCTTGCTAGTATGATGGCCACGCCATTCCTAGCCATGCAGACGTGCAAGATGTTCCACTGCCGCAATGGCATGCTGCCGAAATGCCTGTCGGACATCTTTGACATGATGATCCTCCAAGTTGCCGAGCGCAATACTGGTGAGTCGTACAAGAGTTGGAATGAGATTTCTCCAGCCGTCCAAGCCCTTATCCTAGATCTTGGGAAATTTGCTTTCAGCATGCTGGTTAAACAGCGACTCATTTTCACCAATGCTGATTTGCAGATGCGAGCGATCACCAGGGAAGCTAAAGCTCTCGGCCTTCTCGTGCTAGCCGACAGTAGCAGTCGCAATGACGGCAGACTGTGGATGTTCAGCCATTTGACGTTACAAGAATCGCTGGCGGCTCGCTACGTGGCTGTGAAGAAGGCAACAACACCGGCGCTCGTTGTTCGTTTGGTGGAGATGCTGGGCCCAGAAAGCGACCACTTGCGGACTTTCTGGATGCTGTTGACAGCCCAGTTGAACAAGGAGAATGCTGACTGTTTGATCAACGGTCTTCTAACGCGGAAGAAGTCCTCTCACGGACAAGGAGCGGGTGTGAACGACGAGGACGAGGAATGGGGCGCCCCACATGATGCAACAGCGGCAGCACGTGATGTCTTTCCACTGGATATGCTGGAATCACTGAGTGCAGGTTTGGACGACAACGAGGGCCGCCGTCTTGCAGAAGAGCTTCTATCCGACAGCCTGAACGGAAGAAGCAGTGTGCGTTACGTGGAGAACCGTAGCAAGTACGGTCGACCCGATAGCGGTGAACAGTTCTTGAGAGCAACGTTACTGACGTGGGTAGAGCGCTGCCCTGATGCAACGTACGATACAGTGGTTGATGCTCTGCGATGCATGGGCAAACACGTCCTTGCACAGTCTTTACATACTCCTATGCGCGGTGATAATCCAACACCAGTGAAGAGTCCATTCCACAAGGAAATCATCGGTGCCTCAGACCGCAACTTAGATCTCGCAGTACTCAGCTGTGCTGAGCATTGCCGTCACCATGACGATGACTGTCAACCCATGTCCAGCCTAGTCGCCGCATTTCAGTGCATGAGGATATGGTTCCATGGCGTTGCCCATCCGGCCGTTATCCGTGCTTATGACGTCGCCGTCGATGTGCACTATACCAGTGTGAGGAGTGTGGCGTTTAATGGATGGCGACATGTTGGTACTTGGCCATTTCCAGTATCACTGCTGAAGTGTGAGAACATAACAAGTCTATACATTTCGCACTGGACCTATCAGTGGCAGCAGATCCTGGCAGTTCTGAAGTCATCACACATGCATCTACAGGTAATCCGTCTGCAGAATTGTGATCTCACTGACACCAGTATGCCCTCACACCCAGCCAGTACACAACCGTCGCATGCTGAAGACAGTGGAACAGCTACAACGACTGACCATGGCGATCGCATCCCTGCAGTGCTCCTGGCCGAGGCACTTGCCGATAGTCGCTGCCTCAAACAGTTCCGTGTTCTCCGCTGCAGTGGCATCGGTTGGCATGGTTATCGTGCTATCTGCAAGGCCTTGTGTCACTCGACACATTTATCAACCTTGACATTCCAACATTCAGGGTTCATTTCTCGCATCGATGTTCTGGCGGAAAATCTTCGCAGTGCATGGCCTGAGATAGTGCAGCTTGAAGTCGATGTTGGGGGAGGCTCGGAGGAGCAGGAGGCACCATCCGACCACGACGTCTCTGCATTCTTGCATGCCGTCAACGCACACACATCACTCCGGCAACTAGTGATTTACACCAGTCTACATCAGCACCGTACGGATGCCTACCAACGCCTCCTGAGCAAGGACTCTTACAGATCTACCTTAGATTTTCAAAGGTGTGATTAGTACCAGGAACATTCAAACGGACTTGTGAAATTTACAATTGTCCGTTCCATGCCTGGACTGTGTGCTCTCAAAGTGCGTCTCTGCATTCTTGCATGCTGTCAACGTGTGCGCCTCACTACGGCGACATTTGATTCGCGACAATCCACGTTAATGCCATACGGATGCCTATCAACGTCTTCTCAGCAAGAACTCTTACCGATCTCAATTCGATTTTAAACTGGATTGTTAGAAGAAGTTCAGCATTCTCTCCGTGTTCCACTGCAATAATATTCACAGTAACAACTAAAAACTCGGATGTTGATTAAGAGTAACTCTCCATCACTGAGACTGGATACTATATACAGTCAGAAAGTGCAATAACTAGGCACAAAACTGACAAGAGTACTGAGACATTCGACGTCCTGACACCTAGCTTCAACACATTTCCGTAGCGCTAACCGACAGCCTTCCAACTTGGAAGGTTCAAGGTTATGAAAAGAACAAAGAGGGGAAGGCAAGCGCAACGAAAACGAGCAAAAGCTACAGTCCCAACGGAACAAAGAATGTCGATTGTTACTGGACGATGACGAGACCAGTACGATATTTGACAAAGCGGTCTAACTACAATTCGAAGCAGCAAAGCAGCACACCACCCAACTTGGGTGGGTCATAAATATCAAAGATAAGTAAAGAAAGGGGAAGCTTTGCAAAAACGAATTGTACAAGCCGAAAGCCAAACTCCTACAGCTACAGTACTCCTCATGCATGACATTGTGATGGACTAGTTGACTACAAAACAAGTTGTTTCACACGACGTACGTTTAGCCGTATGGTTCGTGACGGCTCATCAGGTGTGCAATTTGAAACTCGGACAACTAGCACAATATTTACTTGGACGTTTAAAATAACTTGAGCCTTGAAAAAAAACTTTACCCGTAAAATCCAAACATGTTGAGAAATTTACTCCGTTCCATACCTGGACTGTTTGCTCCCAAAGATAGCGGCATATCCTAAATTGTGGCGGTCAGGCCAAGACTTTTATTGTTTTCTCTTATAGTTCATTGCAGTAACCCAACCTGGTAGTACATATATGTCGGCATTGTTTGTACTATCTTTCATAGCCTCATTCCAGTCCGGAGCTTTGTCAAAGGTGTGTGTGTGTCGTGACATGGTGAGGAAAGAGAAGAGAAGAGAAGAGAAGAGAGAGAGAGAGAGAGAGAGAGAGAGAGAGAGAGAGAGAGAGAGAGAGAGAGAGAGAGAGAGAGAGGGAGGGAGGGAGAGAGAGACCACTTGCTTGTGGGCCCTGACTCTGCCGGGTATGTTCACGTACAAGAAAGTCCATACCCGGCAGGTAGTCGTAAAATACCACGGCATTTACGACTACCTGGTCCATACATAGTGTGCATTAGTGGTGCGGCTTAGCCGAATACGTAGACGGGATTTCTAAGATGGTGCTGGTTCAGGGTGCATGCGAGCTACATGAAAGTCCATACCAGGGAGTCTTAAAATACGGGTATTTACGACGGACTCGCTGGTCCATACAGTCATAGTGTGAAATAGTGACCGGCAATGGTGCGGCTAACCGCATAGGAATACGGGATTTCTACGTTGGTGCTGGTTCAGGGTGCATGCGAGCTACATGTGCCTTTGCTGTCATCGCGTGATCGTCTTCTCATCTACTCTTCTGGATAATGTACCCAACTCCACTAGTCAACTGGCCGGCACAATAAAGGTTATGACTCAAGACTGCCGGAAGCAGTATTCAATTGGTCCAGTCATACCACAGTCTTTCATACAGTTTGTGTATAATATGGCGGGGACATAATTCCCTCCTCAGCAGTAAACATGCGTTGGTAGCTACAAGGTTGGTCTGGTATTATTTACCTGACCAATCACACCGGTACCCAGCTCCACTCTGAGTCTGAGCTCCGGGCGGGATTTCCCCTTTTTTTCATCCTTAGCCATGCAGGATGAGTTGACTATGAGCCTACACAGTGTAATACCTGGGTACACTGTTCCTGGCTTTCATCAACACACGTCATGCATACACCATGCACAATGACACGGAACAGTCACAACAGCAGTTAATCAGCTAGTGGTGACTGAGGGCCAGGTTGCTTCATTCCAGAACAAACACGTCAAGGTACCGCTAAGCAGTCTGTCTGTACAGTACTGTCTGGTGTCGAGGAACTGGTTACCATGGTTACTGGGGCGGGTTGTCAACCTCCTAGCCTAGGGCATTCCTATCACCATGGACACCAGTCTATGCCCAGTGGAGTCATCACACAATAACCATTATTATCATGTATGCATAGTCTATGCCAGGTGAAATTCTAGCCTGTTCATTCTTCGTCGCTCGGCAGTACAGTATTCACCAAAGCCACATCATCCGGCCGGCCAACCTGCTAGCTGCGGCCCCTTCCACAATCTCACAGAGATAAATGCTACTGACAAAGCCCAAACCCCACTGCCCCACATACAGACATACATTCACACCGACACACCATGCCGCGACAGACATGCATGCATGCGTACTGGGTTGCACGAGGACTATAGCGATCGGGAATCAACATACGAAAATAGAGAATTGGTCTGTAACCTGCAGACAAAACTCAGGAAAGGCTGAAAAAACTAGAAAATATATCCATGGACACAATAAAAATAACCGTTGTGCCGGTCAAGGTCCGGAAGAGCAATGGCTGGGGCTAGGGTAGCTGTGAATTGAAGAGACAGATTTGGAAGGTTAGTGGCATGTCAAGTGCTGACAGGACGGTCACTTGCTTTCTCTAGTGTTGCTCGATAGCGCCTGATGGCCCCACAGGTTTTGCACGTGACCACTACATGTGTGCGCCGCTTACCTGGACATCCGGGAACAGAATACACAGAGAGAGAGAGACGACAATGATGGCCCACATTGAATGTACAGTATGATCGTGCGCCGTAGAACACTTAGGCTGAAAAATGGCACCAATTGAAGAACAATCCAGGCTAGATTTGCAGATCTAAGAACTAGTGGTGTGCACGGATAGTCGGGTAACCGTGCTACCCGTGAGGACCTCGGGCAGTCGGGTACAGAATAGTACCCGAAAGCCCAAAGTCGCAGATGACATCATGTACAGTGCACATGTACAAATTCATGTAATACTCTGCATGTCTACCCAGTGTGCAAGGGAAGGGGTGCATTGTAGTGTTACCATGGAAACATTACCTGATCGGGTACCCGTGCTACCTGTGGAAAACTACCCGAACCCGATACCCGAAAAAAAAATGCTACCCAACTCAGCCCTACTAAGAACACGTGTACTGCTGTGTATGTGGTGTGATTGCACCGCATGATGCTCTCCATGATCGCGGAACAAGAACAAGACGACTAAAATCTGAACATTTTAGAACAACGCCAGGCTGCGCATTGACCTCCTGCGTTCTTCGGCGCCCGATCGTACTGCAGCACCACCACAGTACAGCACAGTACAGTACAGCACGTGAGTGTCTGTGACTACGGTGAGTGTCTGTGACTGCAGTGTCGGGAGTACAGTCAACTTCGCTAATAACGACTGCGGATATAACGACACTTCGCGAATAACGGCAGAATTTCCATGCCCAGAGCAAAGTCAAATCTAACTGCAATATAATATAACGAGACTTCGGGTAAAAGGACACTTCGCGAATAAGGACACTTTTCTGATGCCCCACCGAGTGTCGTTATACGCAAAGTTGTCTGTAGACTAGGTGCCCATGTGGGTCCCCGTGTCGTTCAATGAACCACATTGAATGTTCATGTCGCATCACCACAGGTCAAGTGAGCGCCTGTGACTGCAGTGTTGTCTGTAGACCAGGTGCCCATGTGCCCCCCCCCCCCCCCCCCGGGTATTGTGAAACTGGCCTAAGGGCGTAACGGTTATATAGAGATCTCACCTTGTACCCGGACAGAGCTGCAGTCGCCAGTGGCCAGACTCGTGTGGCACGCCTTGCAGATACCACGCTTGATGCTGCAGTCTCTACGCCAATACGGATTGGGAGTGGAATGGGATCCAAGCGAGGCAAAAACGCACGCACGCGCACACGCACGCGCACACACACACACACACGTACACACAAGTGTACACAAAACTGATTAGCACGGTTGAGAAAACCAATGCTTGCCCAAACCCATAACTCCACCGTTACGTATTGGCAGCAGTTTTGAAGGAGGCTCTGACAAAACCAAGTGTTTGCCTTTCATGCACTGCACGAGTACTCATCTGTCAGAAGTACAGCAAAACGCGCCGCGGAGCGAGGGCAACTTTCATACGTAAATCTCTCTATGGATTTCCGTAGGAAAGCTCTTTCCTACGTACGTTGGGTCCTCCGTAGGACTTTTTGAAATATTTTTTTCGTATTTTCCGCATTTGTCCATGGCAACGCGTTAACGTTCAAGCCGCGTGAAATACAAGGTACACACACTGTACACCACGTGCAAAACAAAATGGAAAATGCGGTTTCGGTTCACGGTGCATGCGGTGGGCGCATGCAGCCAACGCGTCTCCAAAGCAACAACGCATGTTTAGCAGTCGTGGAGAAATCACGTAGAGCGAAACCCAACAGCTCTGATTTTTACGTATGAAAATTCCGTGCAGTTCCTACGCTATTTTCATACGGAGTTCCGTAGAGCGAAACCTCCCTAATGTCGAGTCAGCTGATCGTGCAGCTGATGTTGACACTGAGGCTACCTGTGAAGCCAGCGCTGGCACTGCTGCTGCTGGTGTTGCCACTGGCGCTGGTACTGGTGCCGGAGCTGCTCTGGGGGATGCCACCGCTCCTGCTACTGCACCTTTTTCTTGTGGCTGCAGCAAAAACTGCCTGGCAAAATTTCCTGTGGAAGCCGTACAGAAGAGTCGCCTGGCTATGATGGAAATGGAGGACAACGAGCGTGACATGTTTATAATGGGCATGCTGGTAGCTACTCACTACCGTACACCAGAAACACGCCGCGGAAAACGAAAACATGAGTTTTACCAGTATTCGTACGATGGACAGGAGGTGTGCAGTGGGGCATTTCAGTACATCTACAACATCGGAAAAAAGTTGTGGCGCAACCTGAAAAAGCACCTCCAAGAGAATGGTCCTGTTCCTCGTCGCCATGGCAATATTGGCAGACGGCCCGCTAACGCACTCCGCTAACGCACTCCAGTTCCCGGATGTGAAGATAGGTGTGGAGTTCCTCAAGGCCTATGTAGAGGAGTTTGGTCTACCTCATCCTGCTCCAACTCATGGACGAGCCGGAGTGCCTCCCACTTACCTCCCCGCATCACAGACTTACAAGTCGGTGCACAAAATCTATGTGGATGCGTGCATCTCTGACAACTGCCGAGCAGCAGGCCTACAGTCATTCCGAAACATTTGGAGTGCCTGCCTTCCTTATGTAAAATTTATGAGTGCCCGCACAGATGTTTGCCAACCCTGTGAAGTCCTCCGCCGTAAAGTAGTTTCTGCTGCAATGGAAGCTGACAAAACTGAGGCGCTCGACCGGTTCTCACAGCACATTGCAGGAGCACAAGCCGAACGCAAGTATTACTGTGATGCCACTGTAGCTGCACACAATGAACTATCTGGTGTTGCAGCTGCACCCGTCCCCCCATGTCAACCCTGCTCCCAACCTCTCCTCGCTTCCCACTACACTTTTGATTTTGCACAGCAGGTGACTCTCCCTCATCTTGCTCGTCAGCCTGGTCCTCTGTATTTTAAACCGCCAAGGAAGGTGCAGCTTTTCGGCGTGTGCTATGAAGGCATACCTAGACAAGGCAACTTCTTGCTTGATGAAACGCAAACCATCGGAGCAGACGGCACAAAGAGCCATGGTGCGAACACAGTCGAGTCTCTCCGGCATGCCTTCTTTGCTAAGTACGGCTCGGGCGAGGAGAGTTGTGTCCTTCATGCAGACAACTGTGCGGGGCAGAACAAGAACCGCACAGTTGTCTCATGCTTGGCGTGGCGAGTCATTGTTGGCCTACACAAAGAGATCCATTTGGCATTTATGGTTGCCGGGCACACACGTTGCCTTGTGGATGGCTGTTTCGGTTAAGTAAAGAGGAAGTACCGCCGGGCCGACACCTTCACTCTGCCTCAACTCGCCAGTGTTGTCAATGAGTCGGCATCATGCAATGTTGCTCATACTGATGCTGTCATTTGGTACCAGTAGGATTCCTTCCTGGACCAGCACTTCAAACGAGTTCCTGGGATATCAAGGTACCATCACTTCACCTTCTCATCTGCAAGTCCAGGCACCGTTAAAGTGAAGGAAAGCGTTGAGTCAGTTCTGCAGCAGGTCACCATTCTCAAGAGCGATCCAAGTGTGCTCGACTCTTCATCTCTTCCACCTGTGATTCCTAGTGCTGGCATGTCTGAGGACCGACAGAGGTACCATCCACAAAGAAATTCGTCCCTTTGTGGCCGAACCCTATCAGGATGAATTGTGTCCACCCCTGGCGTAACGATCTTTGACAGTCCGCAACCATGTGCGTGTCTGTTGGGGACTTCTCCTGATCAAAACCCTCTACAGAATTATATTTTTGCACCCATGTATTTGTATATAGTCTAAACATATTGCTGTAATGCTGTGGAAACATCTACTGCCCGCTTGTTGTTACATTGGTGACATAGACCGATCTAATGAAATGCATCGATTTCTGGAGCGTAATTCGTGGCTCAATGCTGTTCAAGAAAAAGGCCGTAACTCCGTGATGGTACCGTATTTTTCGGTTCTGTTTTTTAAAATATATGATTTCTATGGATGTTCTGCATGAGTTGGCAGTGCTTCCCCAAATCCGCCAAAAATGTCATTTGGTACCTTTTCCCTTGGTGAGGCTGTAATAGTTCTTTTCTTGAGTGAAATCAAAGGTTGCATTCGATTGTGGAGACTGGATCCCGATCCCCGCCGGCCAGATCACTTCGATCAGACGGATACAATCGAATGTGCACAACTGATAATCCGTTTCAAGACCGTAGCAACCGAGTTGCTACAGCTCATCCCGTACTATTTCGATGTATCTGTACGGATTATGCTGAACTCTTGACCAAGTGTACGCATATTTCGAGTTTTGAGTAGATACGATGCAAATGAATCCGTCGAATCCGGCTCTGGGAGGTGGATTGACTGGATCCGAATCCGAGGGGCCGGGATCCGGATTCGTACAATCGAACATGTACGAATTTGGCGAATCCAGGTCCGGGGCCCATGGATTCGCACAATCGAACATGCCCAAAGAGATGGCTGGTAATCATAGACCATTCTTAGAAGTAGGTGGTTAGAAGCCTTGTTCTGAGTTTCAGGTGTTCGCACGACAGTCAGACCTCGCTTATCCGGTCCTCTTTTATCCAGATTCCTCGCCATCCGGAAGAAAATCGCTGGCTACCGATTTACAGCATAATGGCATGCATACGTGCAGTAAGTGTGTTCGACTATCCGGTTCCCTCGCCTATCCGGATTTTTTTTGTGGAAAACGGATGTGTGCGGTTAAGCGAGGTCTGACTGTCCAGGGATTTAATCGTATAATCAGTACATTTGCAGACTGCAGATGTTGGAACAGTACATGTGTCCACCGGGTCTGGTGTTTCCAATCGGCTATTTAAAAAAAACTTTGTCCTGCAGCTAATCATTATCCTCCCGTGTTGCCGTCGACGGACTACGTGACCGCTATGGAAGTGGAACATCACAATGGAACAGGTACGTGCAAGTATGTGTGTATGTGTGTGTGTGTGTGTGTGTGTGTGTGTGTGTGTGTGTGTGTGTGTGTGTGTGTGTGTGGTGTGTGCACACGTGCGCGCGCGCGCGCGCGCGTGTGTGTGTGTGCATGCGTGTGAGTGTGTGTATATGTGTGTGTGTGTGTGTGTGTGTGTGTGTGTGTGTGCGCGCGCGTGTGCGTGCGTGTATGACGCTTACAGGCGTAGGACAAGACGTCGTGCTACGGTCTTCATCACGGAATTATAGTGTCGACTGAGCTCCCTGGCTTCGGGAACTTGACTGCACTCGGATGTCATGAAGTTAGATGCCTATAGCACAACAAACAGGGATAAATCCAAGTGCTCCGTTCAACCATCTTTGCAGTTACACTCAGCTGACAATGACATGTGCCTGGGTTCAGGATAAATTCCCATATCGAGTTGCATTGGCTCTCTATAAGTACGATATGCACCATGTGAAAGAAAATAGGAGAAAAGAAGGTGAAGTGCGAAAGACTAGAGAAGTGTGAACTACTAACAGGGGTGGGTGAAGAGAAAAGAATATGATGAGGAGGTGAGAAATACCGTATTTTCCGGAGTATAGTGCGCACTTTAGATGTGCTATTTTAGGCCCTAAATCGCAGGTCCGCACTATGCTCCGAATATGAAATGCATGTACTTCAATGAAGATTGAAGTGCGCACCCCCAATGAAGATTGGGGGTGTGCGTTATACAAAGGTGCGCACTATACTCCGAAAAATACGGTAATAACAATGTGAGACTCAGAGAGGGTGAAGTGTAAGGAGTATGCGCATGGGTATGTGGGTGGGTGTATGTGTGTGTGAATGCTAAGAGAATAGTCTAAGTTTAGTGACATTTTCTTTCTGGATGCATAGGTTGGGGTGTTTCTTTATTGCCGACCTCTTTCTAGTATCATCACTAGATAAGTCTTTGTCGGGACAACGAGCAGAGCCATTCACGGACCAGGACTGCAACAACGTGTGTGCGCAGGGAAGAATGACAGCACAACATGCGGCTTGCGTTTCCCAGGTAAATGTACTGTGACTGGATACATAATAATTATGTCATCAAGAAATTTATCTTACCTGATGCAGAAAGTTCATCCTCAAATAAGCCTCGCGATGGGGGAGCGACCCCTTCGATTTGTTCTTGCCCATCCCTAGGATCAAGTCAGAAGAGGATCGGCTTTACCGAGGCATTTTGGTGGTTTGCTACCACATACTAGTACTCAGTGGGTATGAATAGATGCAGCTAGTTGCGATCAGCCTCTGTCTTGTCAGACACAAAATTAAATTTTCAAAAAGCAAAGCAGCATGCTTTTTCCAAAACTATCCGCATAGTCATAACTCAGTGACGTAACAGTCAGCAAGTGACGTCGAAACTGACGAAAGCGATTACGAAAGAGTATACTAGTATGTATGGCGCGGTAACGCTTGATTTGCGCGTGTGATCGCACTTGGCTTTCGACTTTTCGGGGGTCCAAAAATTGAAAATCAAACAGGCAACAAGCAAGCAGAATGTGTAGTGTAGAGTGTTACAATAACAAGTTAGATCTTGTGCGAAGATTTTGTGGAGGTGATCTGGAGAAAGTGAGAGTAGTGACTCAGTGGATCGGTCCGCTGTGTGTTGTTGCATCCTAAGATGGTGCATTCGTTTGCCTGTGGAGGATAATGTGGTTTGTGGCCAATCATGGTCGCAGAGCGGTAAGCGAAAGTGGGCAACTTGATTTATCTTATTTTTCACAAATTTACCTGTTTTGTTACTGGCCACATCCACCAAGAGAAGCATGGCTGCATATTGCATGAACACGGTCAGGAGATATTATCCAGCGTCTGCATTGCCTTGGCTCAGTCCATTTGTCGTGCTACGAATATCAGCAATTTTTTTCAAGCTCGAAGCAAACTGGTCGAACACATTTTTCATTTTACATTTTCATCCAATTCTTTTAAGAATTGGATGGGCGTGACGACATTGAGAGTAAAACGTGCCACTGTTTCGTACATCCATATGAGTATGTCAGGAGTCGAGTCTCCTTTGCAGGCTACTAGTACTTACTCCCCGCTAGTGATTTGCATTTTTGCAGCAGTGTGTCAAAGGCATTGCAGTGTTTCTGGGGTTACGGAGATTTCGAGGGTCTGCAATGGGCTTGCAGAAGTAGCAGTCCAGACAACGATGGAATCCAGAGTCCGCTGTAGGTATTGTGTAAGCCATCCGTGTACGGCACCCATATCTCTCTCTTATCCGGGCGGTCCGGGACCGAGCACTGCCCATAGCTTCGAAATATCCCTAGCTCTAAATCACATGCGTTTGAAGGACCGGCCAGAGATCTGGCACATGACGTCACAATTTATTTCCACACAAAAAAACTGGCAAAGGAGTAGTAATAGTTGCACTGGAACTCACCCACAGGGCACAGGGCGCCCGGTAGACCCAGGTGCCCATTACATGAGTCCGAGGTACGGCATAAGAGAGGTATGAGTGTACAAGCAGTGCCCGGTGTTTGTGCACATTTCTCGCCTTTTTCTGGTTCCGAACCAGCCTGACCATGTTTTTACTGTGTCATCTGATCGCAGTATGGCTTCTTTTAAACTTGAATCAAACAACAGCCCGAACAACCAAGTGAGAATAGAATAGTTCAAACTAAAAGAACAGTGTTGGTCTTGCAAACAACTTACAAGGTGGTGGTTGTTGTTTTATTTTACTTTATCAGATTTACAGGCAAGGATGCCTTCTCACCGACCAGGGGCCAGTTCCTAGAAATGATGTCACTGAAGCCAGGGGGGCAGGGGGTGGCTTCTTCATCAGGCTTCACCTGTATAGTAGTTAGTAGTACTCCTGAACACAGGCCTAAGATTGCAGCTGCTTCCAGTACTGTTGAAGCAGAAATATTCGTCTGGAATTTAATTTCGTCTTTTTCGTCCAAGGAGCCTTTGGGCTAAATTAAATGCCGGACTAATATATTGTCGATTTGGCCAGCTTTTCAATACACTCTTATGATCCACGGACGAAATTTACAACGGGACGAACTCCCTTTCTTCGGAGTTGGGCGAAATTATTGACCGACGGAATTTTCTGCCTGTACAGTATACCACAGTGCACGAAAAGTAGCAGTAGTGTAGTATTGACATATCCGCGGCAAGCCGCTTATGTACAACGGCATGGGAGAGGATAGCAAAAATGAAAATATATTGTTGGGGACGTTGAACGTAGCGACCCTAAACTCATTGTTTAGCCCAGACCGTTGTGCAGACTGTTGTGGAGGATCCGAGGAGGAACCTCCATCCATGGCCGTCACCCCATGGTCCAAAACGGGTGCACGAAAAGTGCAGTGCTGCAATTGAAATCCCCACCCCCGAGCGGTGCGCTCACATCGCAAAGACCCAACACGGGATTGTAACACTTCGAAATAGAGACCGCTAGAATGTGAACGCATCGCTCAGGGGGTCTGATTTCAGTTGCCACCGGTGTACATTCTGACACACTGCATGTAGTGGACAAGGTGTTCTCGTCATTTTTGGTGCCTTTAATTAAGGTCTTTACGCTCAAATCGCGGTATGGGGTTTGGGGCACGCTGGAATTCCGTCTGTAACTCTTACCCAGGCGTATGCGTCTACAGTACTTGTAGTATGCTTTTGACATGCACTGTAAGCACAATTGTCTTGTACTTGTACCACACTCTGACCTTTTTCTGATCGAGCGGATTTGATGTGCTCTCTCTCTCTCTCCCCTCTCTGTTTGTCTGTCTCTATCTCGTCTCTGTCTCTCTCTGTCTCGTCTCTCTCTCTCTCTCTCTCTCTCTCTCTCTCTCTCTCTCTCTCTCACTCTCTCACTCTCTCTCTCTCTCTCTCTCCCTCCCTCTGTGCATATGTATATTTAGATATCTCGATTGCTAGTGTCCACGCCATCGTGTGCCACACCACGTCTGCAGCGCGATGCCTTGCGTAGCGCTCGGTTCTGCACGAGCGGGCCAACGGTGACACCAGCCACACCGCCCACGCCTTCCCAGGCGACACAACAGCATGGCACAGCGTCCAGCCCAGCTGTAGCGGCATCTGGTGCTGCTGCTGCTCCGGCAGTTGGTGCTGTTCCTGCAGTTGGCCGTCGTGGTTGGAAACCGATGTATCAGCCGAACCTAAAGGATTTGCCTGATCTCTACCTCAAACTATCCAAGTCTCGATTGACAAGTAAGCGCATACTCAAGATGTTTTTGATGACGCGGCGACAGCTGTCCGTTTTCTTTTGACCTTGCCGCCTTACAGGAGGCCTTCTGCAATTTCTCTCTCCTTTAGGTGTGTAGTAGTAGTAGTAGTAGTAGTAGTAGTAGTATTTATTATTTTACCAGGGCAATCCCCTCAGGCTGTAAGTCTTTTTACAGGGTACCCTAGGTAAGTGCGTGAAATAGAGCTGAATGGAGAAAACCGTAAGTGCGTGAAATAGAGTAAAGAAAAACAGTGGCTGCATACTATGCCATTATGTATTGCGAAAGAGGCTGCGTAGAAAACTGTTGAACAGTGCGAAGGAGGCTGCCTAGCGGCATGCTGCTGGAAGCGAATTCCACCTGTCAGCAGCCAGGTCGGGCAGAGTGTAGAAACCATACCGTAACAAAGCATTAGGCAGGGCAAAAGCAAGGGTGGACTGTCCCCTGGTCAAGGCATCCGTATGGTTGCTATTTGATCTAAGTGCAAAAAAGCTCGGCAAGTAGAGGGCTGCGGCGGCCATGCTCACGTTTATAGACAAGGTCAAATATTTGCCGTTTTACATTGCATGAATAAAGTGTACACGAATGTCGATTCAGCTTGTCTCATTGATTGCGGTTATCAAATTATTGTCTCCTCGCCGTTTGTTCAAATATTTGTGTTTGTGTGTGCGCGTGCACGCGCTTGTGTGTGTGTGTGTGTGCACGTGTGTGTGCATGTGTGTGTATGTGTGTGTTTGTGTGTGTTCATGTGTGTGTTTGTGTGTGTGTGTATGTGTGTGTGTGTGCACGTGTGTGTGCATGCGTGTGTATGTGTGTGTGTGTTTGTGTGTGCACGTATGTTGCTTGTATTACAGGCCTTGTTGTCATCACAGCAATGGCCGGTTACGTGGCGGGGCCTGCCTCGTTTCACTGGCTGCCATTCCTCGCACTGTCGGCTGGCACTGGCCTGTGTTCGGCGGCAGCTAACGCAGTCAATCAGACCATGGAGATACCGTATGATGCACAAATGGCACGGACGAGAAGTAGGGTGCTCGTGCGTGCTCAACTCAGGTAAGATTGTAGGTGATGTATGGGATTATGCTAGGCGTTTTGACCCCCTAATCCGCAAGCTGGCGGTGGTGTTGGTTGCGGCAGCAGCAGCAGTGGTGGTGGCGGGGTTGATAGGAGGGGGCAGTATGAGATGCGGATACTGGAAGTCCACCAAATTTTGGCGCATTCAATTTTCGACCTCCCAGGGCTAAAACCCCTTTCGGCTGCATCAATTTTTCGGCCTGTACTGCTGCCGCCTGTGTACACTCTCACACTGAACATTGGAAAACAAGATTTCGGCCGCAACAAATTTTCGGCCAAACATGACCAGGCCGAAAATAAATATGCGCCGAATATTTGTTGACTTCCAGTACTGCTTTTCATGATGGGAGTGATCGTAGAGAGCCCCCTCACCTCTCCGATCTGATTGAGTATTAGCCACATCTAAAGTTCAGTGGTTCCTCTGTGTGTCTCCTCTATGCTTCCAGCGCGTTGTACTTGGCGGGGGTGGAGGTGCGGATACCTTTTGATGATGGGAGTGGTAGTAGCGAGCTCCCTCTCTTTCCTGATCTAGTTTAGTATTAGACACATCTAAAGTTTGGTTCTTCCTCTGTATGTTTCCCCTATGCTTGCAGCCTGTTGTACTAGGCTTGGGGCGGGGGTGGAGCTGTGGATACTTGTTTTGATGATGGGCGTGATAGTAGTCGGCCTCCTCTCCTCCCTGATTTCATTGAGTAGTAGCCACTTCTAAAGTTCAGTGTTTCCACTGTATGTCTCCTCCGTATGTCTCCACTGTGTGTCTCCTCCGTGTGTCTCCTCCATGCTTGCAGTCCGTTGCACTCGGCTTGCTTTGCCGCCACATCGGTCACCACTGGCACCGCGCTGCTGACGTTCGGTTGTAATCCGCTCACCGGCATGCTCGGCTTTCTCAACTTTATCCTGTACACGTCGGCCTACACGCCGCTGAAGCGCATGACCATCTGGAACACCTGGGTCGGCTCGGTGGTGGGTGCCCTGCCCCCGTTAATGGGGTGGGCAGCATGCACGGGCAGTATCACGCACCCGGCCGCCTGGATCATGCCGCTTGTTCTCTACTCCTGGCAGGTAAGGGTATTGTTTAAACCATTTGCTGCACGCGTGACCTTGTACCGCCTCTGTTTGTTGTGGGCCGTGGAGTGTAGAAAGTATACTTATAATATTTTAGTGATGGCCCATTCACACGCCCACGTGACACTTTCGTCCGAATAGCCATGACAGCATGGAACGTGCCAGGAAAATCGAACGCCTGATACGACAACGTAGACGACGTATCTGTAGTGTAATGAGTAGCATCATGACAGAACTCTATCCCTAGGCATATCATTGTCTGTCTCCAGGTTTCTCCTTCCTACTCCCTACACTCACTCGCATTGATCTAACGTGTCTACTTGTATAAGAACCGCAGCCTGCCTGCTGTACCATTGACTCATGCATTCATGTACCGCTGGACTTGCTGGCTGCGCATCACTAACCCTTCCCCTTCTATGGCACAGTCCCCGCATGCACTGAACGCAGTACTCGGGTGCGCGTGCGTATTCATGTCTGAGTGCACTGCCCTCGGGCTCCATCTATACATGGCATCCCGTACTGGGCACGCTGCTTCCGGTCGCTGCTGTGTGCACGCAGCACCGCCGTCCATTCCGCTCTCTGTCTTCTTTACACAGTGATTCCCAATTGGAATCACCTCTTCGTTTCTGCTCTCCTGACAGTTAGTTGTGCTTTTCCGTGTCCGATAATGTTCCCCCTTTTGCAATAAACAACCAGGCGAAACTACTCTAAGTAGCCACCGCTACATGGCGCAGTGAACAGGATCAGTGATAAAAAAAATAACATTGATCCGCAACGAACCTGGTCTGCAACTTCAGGATCTAGGATGGCTCGCGTTCGACAACGCCGGCGATCGCGATAAATCTCAGGAAGTGGAGACGAAACTCTCGGCGTACTTCACGCCCGTGTCCAACGTCGTCCACGGACGAACGATGTTCGAACGCGACACACAGTCGCCATCCGAGACCGTGGACGAGTCACTTCTGCGTCGTCTCTACGGCGGCGCGGACAACGGCGATTTCAAGGACGCTCGCGATGGCCGCATCCGCGATCGCTTCACGACACACCACTGCAGGCCAACAGCTTACTGCAACAGCTTACTGCAACAGCTCACTGCAACGGCTCACTGCAACAGCACTGCAACGGCTTACTGCAACGGCTCACTGCAACGGCCCACTGCCACGGCTTACTGCAACAGCTTACTGCAACAGCTTACTGCAACAGCTCCCTGCAACGGCTCACTGCAACAGCTCACTGCAACGGCTCACTGCAACAGCTTACTGCAACGGCTTACTGCAACGGCTTACTGCAACGGCTTACTGCAACGGCTCACTGCAACGGCCCACTGCAACGGCTTACTGCAACAGCTTACCGCAACAGCTCACTGCAACAGCTCACTGCAACCGCTCACTGCAACCGCTCACTGCAACGGCTTACTGCAACGGCTTACTGCAACGGCTTACTGCAACGGCTCACTGCAACGGCTCACTGCAACGGCTCACTGCAACGGCTCACTGCAACGGCTCACCGCAACCGCTCACTGCAACGGCTTACTGCAACGGCTCACTGCAACGGCTTACTGTAAAGGCTTACTGCAACGGCTTACTGCAACGGCTTACTGCAAAGGCTCACTGCAACGGTTTACTGCAACGGCTTACTGCAACAGCTTACTGCAATGGCTTACTGCAACGGCTTACTGCTCACTGCAACCGCTCACTGCAACCGCTCACTGCAACGGCTTACTGCAACGGCTTACTGCAACGGCTTACTGCAACGGCTCACTGCAACGGCCCACTGCAACAGCTCACTGCAACGGCTTACTGCAACGGCTGACTGCAACAGCTTACTGCAACGGCTCACTGCAACACCTCACGGCTACTCCCGCCGCAGCCGGACGCCACCAAGCGGTGGCGAGCAAAAACGGCATGCCTGCTGCCGCCGAGCCCAACACAAGTGCCACCTCCACTACCTGACAGGTCGCACAGCCATTGCACCGGAGCGGCTCATCTCCACAATGTGAATATGGACCTGCAACTCTTTCCGTTAGGGGAGATGTGGTGTAATAAGTAACATCATGACAGAACTCTATCCCTGGGCATAGCATTGTCTGGGCCTGCAACTCTTTCCGTTAGGGGAGATGTAGTGTAATGAGTAGCATCATGACAGAACTCTATCCCTAGGCATATCATTGTCTGTCTCCAGGTTTCTCCTTCCTACTCCCTACACTCACTCGCATTGATCTAACGTGTCTACTTGTATAAGAACCGCAGCCTGCCTGCTGTACCATTGACTCATGCATTCATGTACCGCTGGACTTGCTGGCTGCGCATCACTAACCCTTCCCCTTCTATGGCACAGTCCCCGCATGCACTGAACGCAGTACTCGGGTGCGCGTGCGTATTCATGTCTGAGTGCACTGCCCTCGGGCTCCATCTATACATGGCATCCCGTACTGGGCACGCTGCTTCCGGTCGCTGCTGTGTGCACGCAGCACCGCCGTCCATTCCGCTCTCTGTCTTCTTTACACAGTGATTCCCAATTGGAATCACCTCTTCGTTTCTGCTCTCCTGACAGTTAGTTGTGCTTTTCCGTGTCCGATAATGTTCCCCCTTTTGCAATAAACAACCAGGCGAAACTACTCTAAGTAGCCACCGCTACAGTATCCAGACCCTGTACCGAGATTCGTTCTTTCGTTCCCGGCAGTTCGTGTCCGAAAAAAGCTGTACGCACAGCTGTGCGAAAAGCGTGTACGTGCCTGTGTGAATGCACCTGCATGCAAACGCCGTCTGCCAGTACGTGGTATTCCAAAATGTGACGCGTCTTGTAACGTAGTATGAATAGCCTATAACATTGCAGTGCAACTCCAGTACACAGGTGGAATCCTTATCTTTCGAATATGGCTTGTTTCTTCCGGGACCGATTTCTATCAATACGATTTCCACATAACGAATTCCTGTACCGTGCCTCCAGGGGATGTGCACACCTGTACGGTACCGGTGTAGCCCCGATGAAGTACGGTTGATCCGAGATGAAATAACTGCTGCAGTGTAGTGCAAGGTCCTGGAGTATGCAGCCCTTTGTAAGGGTGTCGGACACGCTACGGTCATTACGGTATTGGCCGTACCACTCTTTATCCCAGGTACACCGTGAATCAATAAAGGCACTCAGCTAGGCTCTAAGTTTTGCAAAATTTTCAAATGAGCCACCCCAACCCCATGAGTGAACTGTACTTCAGGTTGCTAGTCGTAGATCTACCACTCTAATACAGTCAGACCTCGCTTAACTGCACACATCTGTTTTCCACAAAAACATCCGGATAGGCCAGGTAACCGGATAACTGAACACACATACTGTATATGCATGTGGCATGTCAAAAGCAGTGACATCAAACATACATGTAGACAGGTCCTATGCAGTACAACTAGCGTGCCCAGTATGTAAAACAAGCGAGAAAAATGACAAGTGCATGCAACTGAGTGCTGTCCGCACACACCCAGCAGGTCAAGGACCTCATTTGCTTGTACAACTCCTTGATACTAGCTTCTGCAAGCGCTAGCCAGCCACATGCAACCGGATACGACGAAGCATTTTGTACACATTTCAACCAGTTTGTACACAAAATCATGCACCGGTACGCGGATCGCGAGGTCCGGTTATGTTGTATGCATAACATATGCTGCACATCGGTAACCAGCGATTTTCTTCCGGATGGCGAGGGATCCGGATAAACGAGGTCTGACTGTATACCTTCCGACGCCCTGAGAAGCTCCTGCATCTTGTGCTCTCCCCGGTGTGTATCCAGGGTGCTACACACCGAAGTTGCACTGTAAAATATTTACGGGAATGCAGCGAATAGGATTTTCGGTCTTTGGTCACTTTGCGGTGGGCCTTATATGCCGAAAATACGCAGAGCAAACGCTCCAAATCATTCACAGTAGACCAAGCAAAGAAACGACGTAGAGCTAATACTCACAACTGAGGTTGTGTTTGTTCGGTGTCATTCCGGTGTCATTCCGGTGTGCTTTGATTCTGGCTGGTTTGTTTGGTGTGCATGGAATCGTTTGTTTGGTACAATCTCAATTCTGGCCGCGATACGAGCGGGGCAGAATAGATTCTGGCGATACCAAAGAAAAAATGGATTGAGCACTTATTGATAAAAGGAAGGACAGAAATGTTTCGAGTTATGGCTAACTGTCCACCAATGTAATAGGGCTGAAAGGAATATTCGAATTATTCGAATATTCGAAATGTGCAGAATATTCTTCGTTAGAGTAGAATAAGAATGTTCGTAAATGTACAGAAACTCGTCTTTTTGATATCGAACAGGTTTATTTGGTGCAGAAAGTGGGTGAGATTGCCACCTTCCATGTGTTGTCATCAGCAAGACAAACGATAACATTGTCCATTTCAAATGTCCCTCCTGTAATTGGGGTATACGCCAGTTGATGATCTATGGTTACCATGGATACAACTAGGTATCCATGGATATTGTATGGTTTAGAATATTCGGAATATTCTTCGTTTCACACGTATTAGGAAAGAGAATATTCGTTCGCTTCATTGAGCATTCGTTTCAGCCCTACAATGTAACCAGATCATATACAGTCAGCGAGTGCGACAACATGGCACAAAACTGACAAGGAGTACTGAGACATTCAACGACCTGACACCTAGCGCCAACACATCTACGAGGCGCAAACCAACAACCTTCCAACTTGGAAGGCTCAAGTCAGGAAAGGTCCAAAGAGGGGTTGCCGCGGGACATAGCTCATGCTCATCTTCGTTGCGCTTTCCTTCCCTTCTTTGGACCTTGGTGTAAACATCACAATCCACCAGTTGTAGTCTTCAGGGCGCTAGTCGATCGGTCTTTGTCCGAGGAAGCTAAGACACCCCCTTCGTACTACAGTAGATATTGGGTATAACGTGCCCTTCTGATTTTCACATTTTATCACTATAACCGGTATATCACTACAGGCGATTTTCAACTGCGCGCGTCATACATACACATTATACACGTGTGGGTACTCGATCGCGCTAATGTATCGTACTGATACGTGATGGATGCTACTGCACCTTCTCCAGTCTAGAGTGAAGAACTTCTTGGCCCAAAGGCATCATCCAGGAAGCACCAGACCAGAATACCCTATGACAACACACATGTGGCTCCAAGTCGAGACATCAATGCCTCACACTCGTGTGTTGCTATCACTATAGACGATAATTTTTCTGTACAAAGAGGTGTTTTGAATGGTGATTCTGTATCCTTATAGCCGATTTATCGCTAGATACGGTATATTGGTTATAATGATAATTTGACGGGCTTTTTCTGGATTTGCTTTTGTTTTCATTGTGTATCAATATAGCCGGTTTATCACTATGTCCGATGACTTTATAATCGATATCCACTGTACTCATTATATTCCCAATCGAACTTGCGCACTTCCCTCGAAACTGGATGGGTGTGCCCTAATACAATATAGATGGAGATTTGTGTGGAAATTTTCAGAAATTTCGTGTGTATTTGTGTGCGTGTGCATGCTATTCTGATGGTAGTTTCCTCATTTCCACGGCTTGTCTTGGGCGCGACGTGATGACTACTCGCGTGGAGGATACGTGATGACGGCTGTGACTGACCCGGCTATGTGTCGTCGTGTTGCACTGCGACACTGTGCCGCCTTGCTAGGGCTGGGCATGCTTGTTCCATTTGCAGGTTAGTCAGTACAGCTTTGGGCATCCTAGTTTATCCTAACACACCTGTGTGACAGTTTGTGCGTGTGGGTGGGTGTATGGGTGCATGCGTGTGTGGGTGGGTGTGTGACAGTGTGTGTGTGTGGGGGGGGGGGGGGGGGCTGTGTGGTGTAGACCAGGCTGAATAGTAGTGGTGTGCACGGTTAGTCGGGTACCCGTGCTACCCGTGAGGACCTCGGGTAGACGGGTACCGAATCGTACCCGAAAACCCGAAGCCGCAGATGACATCATGTAGAAAGTGTAGAGAGAGAGAGAGGTCTACAGTGCACGTGTACAAATAATTCACGCACATAAGGGAAGGGGCCGGAGTGCATTGTGGTCTTACCATGGGAACATTACCCGATCGGGTACCCGTGCAAAACTACCCGGATCCGATACCCGACTCAGCCCTACTGAATAGTGGCGGTCAATTCTTCAGCCTTGCAAGTTGTTGAATGGTGCAATCCCATCACAAGCTGCTATGGCTTCTGCTGTAGCATCGCTATCATCGCCTTCGGCGATGGGCGTCCAATGGTGTGTGTGTGGGGGGGGGGGGTGCATGGTACATGGTGTGTGTGTTTGGGGTGGCTGCATGTATGTGGGCTAGGGCATTGAGAAACGATCTGAGAGAGGGAAAGGAAGGGAGGGAGAGGGGGGGGGGGGGGGAGAGAGAGAGAGAGAGAGTCTGTCTCTGTATGTATGTGTATTCCTGCTTGTCTTTGTGGACAGTACAGTTATCGTTTGTTATCGTTTGTTATCGTTTGTTATCGTTTGTTTCTGCTCCGCTGCAGGTTTGACCAGCTGGTGGTTTGTGTGCGGTGGTGCGGCGGTCGTCAATGGTTACTTCACTTACCTCGGTTGGCAGTTCTATCGCCAGTCCAACGTGCAGTCCGCACGCAAGCTCTTCCAGTTCAGCCTGCTGCATCTGATCGTTCTGATGGGATTGCTGGTGATCGGCGCTGTCGCGAAGGACGCCACCTGTGTTGGTCACTCCTGGTCGAGCAAGAACACGGAGTCGGACTCGTCCCCAGCCGAGCAGCAGGATTCTCCCGCTGAGGCAGCTTGAACAGCACGCGTTGCTCCTCTGCTAGATTCGAGATCCGATTGACGATGGCAGCGGGAAGAGTGTGTGCTGTTTTACCGAGTTGAGGACGGGATAGACACTGTTCATGCTCACGGTGACTTTTTGCGTTTGGCAGAATGTGAGCCATGTTGTCCGTCCGTCGAAGTTGGTGCGGAATGGTGGTCAAAATGACCCGGGTTCTCTTTCTGCCACACTTGGCTAGTTTGCTGAGTGCTTTGGCTGTTATAAAGTTAGCTTGGTACATACCGAACATGGTAGTATCTAAAGTCTGGCTGTACCCCTGTGTTGCTCCTGGAGAGTTCAGAGCTACAAGTGGAGTTGTTATGCAACGACATATTTATTTACTCCCCCCCCCCCCCCCCCTCTCTCCACAGCTTTGCGGATGGTGTGGTTCGCGCAGTAGACCTCTTATATTGCGCGATTTATATTCAATTTTTAGGACACTGTCTGTGTGCTGTGTGTGTGTGCGTGCGTGCGTACGTGTGTGTGTGTGTGTGTGTGTGTGTATGTGTGTGTGTGCACATGTACACGCGTAGGCACATTGCTACTGCTTGTGGTCGCAGACACGACCAACCCAGTTTGAGGTGTTGGCGTGAGCCTACCGACTGTGCAGCAGTTTCGCTTAGGGATTACCGAAAAACGTGTCTTCAGTGATATTTGAATTCTAGTACTTCACACGGTCTCGATTTTTCAGTTGGCAAGAGGAATTGTAGGGTGTGAGCTTTTGAATACAGGGTTGTGTAATACTTCTCGAGAATCTGGTCTCCCCGAAGCACGTTTTGCAGATATGAGCCACTTTCTGTTAGTGCATGTGCATGTGACAGTTTGGTTTAGGAAGCCCTCACGCAACACAACCGTTCACATTAGTCCAGCACAGTTCTAAAGGTGAAATATTCATCTAAGGGTTTCCCAGATCAAACTTGGGGTGTGCATGTACTATTGTGTGCGCGTGAGAGGGAGCCATGGGTTTACATTGAAGTTAACTAAGCCTGCAAGAATTGAGCGTTTCCGGCAAAACGCCAACAAAATGTGTGTGCTAAGCTTGAGCTCAACTGACTGCGTGTGTTCATGTGCATGGCCGATGACGCAATGTTCACAGGATCCATGATGATCATGCATCCAATGTTTCTTTTCCCTGCTGCCTCACCATTATACATGCCAAGAATATACGGAGTGAACATGGTTAACGTATCCAGGCCGGACTCAGTTCAAGCCCCCGGCCCACACTTCAACCAGCACACTATTGTAGCCTAAGTCATGGCAGGCCCAGACTACTTGAGGGGATAGTGCAGCACAGCACAAGACAAAATTAATAGACCGCCAAGAACATCCATAGAATCAAGAGCACACTTGGAGGTTAGACATGTACAGGCAGACATAATCCAGCCAGTCCCACCTTTTTGGACACCATTGCTAAATAAATGTCATCGGCCGCAAACCGACCAAGAACACACATCCATGCACACACATACACACCACCACCTGTGTGCATGCACACACAGACACACAGCCAGATACACACGATGAAGCAGTAAGAAATTGATCATTGAATCAGGTACACTCCGTTGTTACTCAGAATAAAAGTAAATAAATAAATATACACACAACCACTATCTTTCCTAGTAAAAGTCATAACGCCACGACCACACTCCACAGACTATCCCGACATGACGGCCTTGACGAACTCTTCGTAGTTGATCTGCCCTCGCTCTCCCTCGGAGATACTTGCGAGGATGGAGTCGACTTGCTGCTCAGTCAGCTTTTCACCCAAGCTGGTGAGGACGTGACGAAGTTCAGCTACGCTGATCATACCCGTACCATCACGGTCGAATGTCCGGAGGCCCTCCACAAAGTCAGCTTCTGTCAAATCATGCTCTTTGGAGGACTTGCATGAGAGTAACACAGGTAGAAACTCCTCGAAAGAGACGCGCTTTGTGCCATCCGGGTCCAACTCTTTTGCGATCTTCTTGGCTTCTGCCTCTGTCGGGTTACTGCCAAGTGCTCGGAGAAGATCTCCAATCTGGGATGAGTCAATCTTATCGTCGCCCTTCTTATCAAACAGGGAGAACGCATCTCTGTACTCGGACAGGTCCTTGTCGGAAACGTCGTGAGGCATTTTGTCTAGATCTGTTCTACACTGTTTAGACAGCAGCTGACAAGAAGAAACTGAACTGAAAAACGTCGAAGCTGCGATGGCTGCTGTTCGTGTTGCACGATGTGGATGTTGTTGTTTGACCTTTTCGATCATGATCTGAAAGAGGGGCGTACCGTGTACGCATTCAGAAGACTCGACCTTGTTGAGTGTCACCATGTCAGCAAACTGTGCAACTCGACCAGAAAAGGAGTTGTAACATGTCAACTCAGAATCTCCCCAAGAGCGGAGGAAGCCGGAAAAGGAGCTGCACCTGGGTACGAGGTCTCATTATGACGCGTCACTCGTCGACGTCACCATAGCAGCCGAGTGGACGCCGCGCCGCCCGGGCGCTGCTGCAGCTACTCAACGTGTCGAAAACACTTCTTCAGACTTTACTTGGCTCTGAAAATTCTTGCTTACTTTGCACTACTGTTGCAATTAATTTTCAGTAAATTCCTCACTGAAACAATGCTGATATAGAGTGCTTTGTGAAGGATAGCTATGGCTGGGGCGAAATTTGAATATGACGAGAGCGGAGGCACCTCGTTCTACTTCCTCCTGTCTTTTTTGGCATTGATATTGGTGCCATGCACTTACTATTTCTGGCCATTCTCCAAAGAGGAAGGTAAGATGGAATCATCGTCCTGCTCTGTTCTGGAGCCGTTCTCAATATGCTGCTTCATGTACTTGTGTATTGTCCTATTGAGCAGATGAGGACTCAGGCAAGGGAAATAATTGTCTGTGCATCCCCTGCATGAAGAAAAGAGGTCGTAGCAAGCAACAGAATAAGAAAACTTCCAGCAAAACGATTCGGTGAGTACGACTCGTTGACACTGCTATTTTTGTTTATAGAGACGTACTTGTAGCACAGTCGCAGTTTGTACAGTCTGTATCAGCTATTGAGTGACCGGGTATAAGGATATATCGGCTAAAGTGATATCAGAACAAAAATAATATCAAAAGCAGAATGCATTAAAAAAAATTTCCAGTCAAAAATTTCATAACCAATAATAGCAAGAGTACATAACCCCCCAGAGTGTGCAACTCCCACATACCCTGTTGTCCCGACAGAATTTCAAGTTGACGTCATTATTTATGACGCAATGCTCCTTGCAGCAGTGATTTACAACATGTGTACGGGTGTCAACGCATCACACGTTTTTCTTTGCAATAATTTGTACAGGATCGATCGGCTTCGGTCAACCACAGGTTCCGGATTCGTCTGATAATCCGTGTACAGTGCGCATTGCATCATCAAAATGACGTCAACTTGAAATTCTGTCGGGACAGCACCCATAGTGGAGTTGCACACTCTGGGGGGTTATGTACTCTTGATAATAGTGACATATCGGATATTCCGATGGCATACCAGAGTCAGAACATGCATTGCGCACTATACAATGATCAGTGGCTATAGTGACATACGTGGCAAGCAGGTGCATGGGTGTACAGTCATGACTCATGTTCACCTGTAAGGCATGGCATGTCCACAATACATTGCGCAGTACAGTGTCATTTGCACGCACACATCTACACGCATGACCATGTGTACGTGGTCGCGCACCTCATGTGCATGCATGTATGGTTATAATAATTATATATAATTAATTTGAAACTCGGATGTTGAGCCATAAATAAATGTAGAAGAGAAAAGGACATATGGATACGAGTTAAGAGTAACTCTCCATCACTGTAACATGATACTTTATATGGCTTTTGCTCGTTTTCGTTGCGCTTGCCTTCCCCTCTTTGGTCTTTCCATAACCTTGAACCTTCCAAGTTGGAAGGCTGTCGGTTAGCGCTACGGAGATGTGTTGAAGCTAGGTGTCAGGACGTCGAATGTTTCAGTACTCTGTCAGTTTTGTGCCTAGTTATTGCACTTTCTGACTGTATAAAGTATCATGTTACAGTGATGGAGAGTTACTCTTAACTCGTATCCATATGTCCTTTTCTCTTCTACATATAATTAATTATTATGATATCGGGGATCATATCGCTTGTAGTGATGCATCGGATATAGCTGGCCCGCCGGAACCGGTGCGGTTGGTCAGGTTATTACCGGACCAACTTTGTGGCCACCTACGCATATTTACTGCTAAAGACGTTGTATGTGCCCACTATATCAAACACATAGTGTGAAAGGCTTTGGTACGACCGGACCAATTGAATACTGCTTCCGGCGGGCCTGTCTAATAGTCATAAGAATGCTGAAAACGAATGGGGACGCTATGGCCGGTACGGGCTGTATTAACTATTAACATCTGAACTGACCATCATGTGTGTGAGTATGTATGCGTGTGTGTGTGTATGTGTGTGTGTGTGTATGTATGTGTGTGTGTGTGTGTGCATGAGTGTATGTGAAATTTCATTGACAGTGGGACTTCAGTATAAAACTCAATGCACGATATTATTTTTTGCATTGCGATGAGCGACGGGAGACGCAATGGGCAATTTCTTTTTTTAGAAACTTGCATCTGCTGGTTGTCACACTTCCATCACATTCCGTGTGTAGATGATCAGTGCATAATGAGTGGCTTATGCTTGCAGAAGATGAGAGCTGGCATATCCTCTAGAAAGAAAAAAGAAGAGATTTTCCTGCTGCATGGAGATCATTGTTGTGAGGTTTCTTTGCGCGTATATCCCGCCTGCCGGGGTCCTGGTGCCTTTGGACATGTAGCTATGTGGTGTGTTGCATTGTGTGTCTGTACAGCATTAATTTGTACAGTTGCGCTCGGTGAAATCCAAACCAGAGCGCATATTTGATGCCCTCAACTAGCACGCCCTTGACGCCCTGGAAGTGGCACGAATGCGGCTTTACGTACACATGTACAAATGTAATGAAGTATTCGGAACTGGTCCAGGGCGCCAGGTTTGCACTTCGGGTCGGATTTCGCTGAGCGCAACTGCGTTACTACCTTTGAACATGCAGCTAGTAGTTGTGTTACATCGTGTGTCTGTACCGTTCCGTAATACTAGCTTTGAATGTGCAGCTACATGTATGTGTTGTGTTGTATTGTGTGTCTGTGACTCTGTGTGTGCAGTATCGTATTGCTATTGCTGGGCTGGATAGCGTTTGCAGCACTAGTGTACAAGGTATCCACTATAGAACGTGAAGGGACGATGTTCGATCCCTACGAAGTCCTCAGTCTGGACAAGGTGAGTGTGTGTGAGTGGGGGGGGGGGGGGGGGGTGCAGTGCGTGTGTGCCTGCGAGAGAGAGATTGAGAGAGACATAGATAGAGAGGGAGAGGGGGGGGGGGCTATCATTAAGATGTTGGCGGCATTGATAGTTACTGTCTTGGACAATTTTTTAAAGAATTCACACACACGCTGCAACACATTCAGTCTTAACAAATCTACCACATGGTCTCCTTGCTGGAAGTATGGCCGGTCGGCAGAGGACAACAAGCAAACATTGTGGTAATGTTCCTTGCACAGGCCAGCCACAGTCACTGCCTTCCTTGCCTTGGATTGTCTAAGTTGTGTGCGCGCGTGTGTGTGTGTGTGTGTGTGTGTGCGCGTGTGTGCATGTATGCGTTTGTCCATGTGCGTGCACATGTTTTCGTGTTTGTTCCCGTCTGTAGAGTGCCAGCATGTCTCAGATTAAGCGTGCCTACCGCAAGCTGTCGCTGCAGTACCATCCCGACAAGCCGACCGGAGACCATGCCATGTTCATGAAGATCGCCAAGTCTTACCAAGCGCTCACGGACGAGGACGCGCGCAAGAACTGGGAGGAGTTTGGCAGCCCTGATGGACCGCAGGCGGCGTCGTTTGGCATTGCTCTGCCGTCGTGGATTGTCGACAAGGACAATTCT